AAGGCAGAGATGAAGTATTATGTACACTATTTACATTATTCGGACTATTGTTCTCATCGTTATATTTATTACAACGCTTTAGCCATTTTATGCTCTGGCCTTCTTCAGGTGGTTGGAATGTCGAACTGAACTCAGTTAACTGACATCCATTAAACATGGCACATGGAACTATAACAGTCTAATCCAGTGAGCAAAATAAAGAGTTTAGTTCGACATTCCAACCACCTGAAGAAGGCCGGAGCGTAAAACGACCGAAACGTTGTAATAAATACAAAGATAAGAAAAATAGTCCAAATAATGTAAATAGTGTACATAATACTTCATCTCAGAAATATAGACAGGTACATCTACTGACTTGTGCATTTGCGAGACTTAAGAAAGAAAATGTGCTCTCTGAGAAAATAATAATAATGTTGGATTAAAAATAAATCCATTAATTCCTTAAAAATTACTTGTTTGTGTTTCAGATACAAAAATAAAGACATCAGCAGATATGGACTTTCAAGAAGATCTGAACAAGCATACAGAAATTCTTTAAAAATAGTAATTGAACACTTTACCTGGCTGTAACATTTTCTCTGGATGCATTATATAAAGTATACCAGATCAGATGATGATTTCCCCTACAATGGGGTACACAGGTTCAAACCCTGACAAAGAGTGCCATTTTCTTTATTAAGTCTGTCAAATGTGCAGGCCAGCCAATGTAATTGACAATGTTTAATATAAATAAAAGAACAAAGCATCTACTCAAACATGAGTAGCCACAAAAATAATATTTAGTACAAGAAGACATAATAATAGCACTTACTTCCCTCATGTCAAAAGTGACTTAATCTTAAAAATATTAATCACACATTATACAGTGAAAATTTCAGATCAAAATTCTGATAAGAATATTGAGAATACCCTGAACCGAACATGTGAGCAACAACACAATTTTAAGGAAAATAGAAACAAAAATGACATTTATACTTAACATCAGAAAGAAACAACTGAAATTTCAAGGAACATAATGAGGAAAGGGAGCTTGGAAAATTTGACACTCAGAGGGACAGAGGAAAGCATAACTTAATAAACTTGTGTAGATGGTTAGCAGAACAGGGATTAGGAGGGATATTAAAAAGCCAAATCTTGCTCAGAACTACAAAAGACAGAATGCTGTGGTGAGTCATGATTGCCGAAGTCTTGAAGAAACATGGCACATAGAAGAAGAATTGGTAATATATGGATTTATTGATCCACTCCTGTAATGTTAAATGAAACTTTCAAAGTTAAGGAATTGCTGAAAATATTAAAATTCAAAACAGTTTTCTCATCTTTATTGCTAGCCATTAAAAACATCCATAGTAATTCCTGAAGATTAGACGCATGTAAGAAGATATTGTAAGCAAATCATTAAAAGAACTTCATCAATGGTTTGACAGCCCAAACAAAGAAAAAAACATTTGCTCAAGACCACAGAATTATAATGGTTGACATTGAAAGAAAACAGAATTGTCAACAGATTTATGTAGATAATAAACAAATAATATAAACAGACTTAAGAAATATAATAAAACACAAAGGACAAGTACCAAGAGACATAACAAATACGATAGCCAACGTTATGTAAAAATGAAACTGAACAAAAGAGGGCGGAAAGGTGATACATAAATTGCAGTCAAATATTGCTTTATTTAAGATGATATTTAAAAATTTAGAAGATTTTAGAAGTATACAAATTAGTCAGGCATCAAAAATATAGTGAAGAAGAGATTTGGTCAAATCCAGAATTCTAACTTGCATCAAGTTTGTATAAGTATGATTCTTGAACAGATTTTGAGATTTGGTGATCCGTGCAAAATTTTTTTGATAGTCCGCAGAAAAATTGGGACAGTATTTCAATTTTTATGAAACTTCATATTCAAAAATGACAAGTAACAAAATGTATTATGGATGGTATATATATTCAAGATCTTATGTAATCTTGAAATAAACACGAGTAAACAAATGTAACATCATCCAGCCATAGTATAACATGACTTGGAAAGTCATGTTTAATACTTGTTACTGAATAGTTTTTATGAAGCTTCATATTCAAAAATGACAAGTAATAAAATGTATTATGGATGGTATATATGTTCAAGATCTTAAGTAATCTCGAAATAAACACGTGTACACAAGTAAACAAATGTGACATCATCCAGCCATAGTATAACCTAATATGACTTGCAAACTTAAAATTTTCAATTTGCTTTATTTAAATAATTACACTATAAATTTGTTACCTTTAATGGGTGCATTTCATATTAATAAAAGAAAAGTTTTCTGATTATTATTATAGAAATGTATTTACCTTTTTTTTCTAAATTCATATTAATGGTCTACCAAATTTAAAATTATACATTTAGTGGTCTATGAAGTTCAAAAGGTTGGTAACCGCTACTCTGGATCAAATTCAAATTCTTTTCTTACCAGAAAACATAATAAACAAACACAATCAAAAAATTTATGATTTTCTTTTCCCATTTCTTGGATCAGAAGATTTCTTGACCATCAAAGTGTGGATTAATTAGTTGAGTGCCAATCTGTGTTTTAATGAGAATTACATAATGATCCTTTTTACCTGAATGCCAACAAAAATCAACTTCCCAGAAATATTTGAGAAGATTTTCTTTTATCATTCCATGCTTGAAAATCAATATCTTTTTCAATATGCCTCTATAAAGCTTTTATAAGTCATACATTTTAGGATCTAACTGGATCACTTATAGAAACTGTGCACATTAAGAGCTACTTAAATTTGCTAAGGAAATTTACCAAGGACAAATTATGCACTTGATGGAGTTAATTAAGATACCTTAATTTCTTAATTACTGAATACGACTTTCTGCTTGTAATAAAATATAAATGGTATTATCAAGTACATACAGCTACAACAGTAGTGAATTATATACACAGTCACACACTTATCACTAGTATTTTATTGAACTCTGACATCAGGAATCAAATTCAGTAATCCTCTCCAATCTACAGAAAATTTACAAAACACTTTTCTTACACTGTATCAACCACAGATGAATAGAAAATCATTTTTGTTATTTAAACGCATGAATCCATTAGCGACAGATGTCCATTATTGTCGCTGTACATTTCAACTCTAAATGATTGAAATAATTTCTGCTATACTTAATGGATTAATTAAAAAGGTTTTGTCGTCCCATATTTTTTGGGGATTTTCTCTCAAATAAGCCTTGCAGTTTTTTTGTTTTTTTTCTATAGAGAGAAAGGCACTTCAATATAAAAGGCTTGACACCAAAAAAGTTAAAATTCAATTATTCTGTTAATAATGATAATTTTTACTCAGATGTAATTTTATTATTGGAAGTACTCAAGAATGAGACAATAACAGCTATACGTCTTGAAAATATAGAAAATGGTTAAAAGGAGAAAGTAAACTTTCTACCCACTAATTTCACAGATGATACTAGAAACATGTAAGAATGATTTAATGCAGAAATATTACAAAAGAATATTTATACATATCTGCAAATATGGAATGTATTACTGTACGTAAAATGGAACACCACCAAATGAAAACAAATTTATTTCTAAGCATTCTTTCTATTTTTTTTTTCCTTTTCTTTTTATGTACCCCTAATGTGCATCGTGTCAGAGGTCATCTTCTGTCATACACAGTATTGGTCACAGTAAAGGTCAAAGACAAGGAATGTGAAAATCCAAGCAAAATCTTTAAAGAAAATACATAAATTTTAAATTCAAGCACAAAGAATTGATAATGTTTCTCAGAAATAAAAAGAGTAACCAGTCTAGAATTAAATGACAAAACATCCATTTTCTATTTAAATAATCAAAGATGAGGAGAATAATAATGATTTTATAAATACCAATGATTCACAAATATTGATTGACTTCAATGATTGACCCAAGATAGAAATCTGGAAGTGATGAAGCAGCAGAACCTTTTTAGAAGATCTAAAAAGATTTTCGTTCCATTTTGTGTTGGTTCTGGCAAAAATTACAACCAAAGTGATACCAGAAAAAAAAAAAGAATCCATTTTCCTAGCTAAAAACAGAATTGTTTAAATTCAGCATTTGTTTCTTTTTCACTTGAAAGGTGATACCAGGCACAGATATCCTGAAACACTTCAAGAATATCAACACTTTTTTCATGTGTATTCACAGACAATTGAAATTAAGCCACAAAAGTAGTGAACACATTGTAAATTCAAACATTTCAAGAGAAATATGGAAAAGAATTTTTTTTTAATTTTACTGACATGGAAACAAATGGCACCCTTTTTTAAAATAACTGTTACCCCAATTTAGAAAATCATTTTACCCACAGAATTTCCTCAGTCCACGGCCAGTCAATACTGAGATTCAACAGATGAATTTGATGACCAGAAAATTTTCCATACATATAAAATACACAAAGAATAATATGTACTTATTGTCACCATGAGTGTGTGTGTGTGTGTATATATATATATATATATATATATATATATATATATATATATATATATATATATATATTTATTCATTCATTCTCTCAACATAATGTGCCCTTATGTTCCTCCAAGTATTCCTCAATTGTTTCATGAGCATTCATGCTATGAATATTTATATGGACAAAACTGCTAAAAAATGTCATTCAAGGAAGGTTTTCCCATGAAAATATGAATTTTAAATTCAAAGGAAGTATGAAATTGAATGGGAAAACAAGTCTATCATGAGTCGAATGCCTCCCCACCCCCACAAAAAAAAGCAGGTAGAAAAAGGTTGGATGGTTTTGTCACAAATTTTTTTAGAGAACACCACATTGCAATCAAATAGAGAAGGTGTTTGGTCAGCAATCAAGTATTGAGTTTTGTTGTCAAAAAACAAAATAACGTAGAAAATCAGGAGGTTTCTCAATATTTTGCTAACTGCATCCTTGTAGTGTCAGTTACAAACAGAAAAAATATTTAATTGCTTTATTTATTGATTTATTCTTATGTATTATCCACCACTCTCATATGGAACCACCAGTTAAGACTCGTTGTCCAGCATTTGTTAAGGGATTCTTTGAATTTTGCATTAAATTGTTGAATAGCTTCTTCATCACTGACACCAAGTGCCAAACTCTTCTGTAAATATTCCACATGTTTTTCACTGGAAAGTTCTGGAAGTCCTGACTGAATCATTAGCCGGAATAATGTAATAAGGATTGTACCTCTTCTTCGGAGAGTCATGTAGGCCTTCTCACAAATTTCTTGAAATCTGCAAAAGAAATTAAAATATTGGTCAAATATTGCATAAAACAAGTAAAAAAGTTAAATTCTCTTTAAGTATGTCATTTATATATATATATATATATATATATATATATATAATTAGGAAAAATGATATTTTGTTTATTTCCATATATGGTCAGTGTTGGCCCCCAAACCTGAATTATGGTTTCATGAAATGTTAAAAGCAAATTTCAGCATAAAAAAAATCTGCTTAAAAAAAAATTATATTGCAAGCTTACTATATAAACTGCCAATTACTTTTTTGTCTGTTTTTAATGTCTATAACTTTTTATGCATTATCTTCCTCACACTAATATTAATAAATATTAATATCTTAAAAGAGTCATTTAATATTAATAAGAAATTAATATACATTGATGTTTTCACTAGTAAACACTAACTGTATTGACTCAAAAATTGAAAGAATATTTTTTCCTAAATGTTCTTATATTTCTTTGTTTAAAAAGCCATAAATGGTTAAGAATCTGGCTTTATACTTCAGGATTTCCAATTCTTGTTTTACGAACACATAATCAGTAGTTTTAAGAAATATTTTCTAGATGTCATAAAAAAATGACCCATTAGTCTAATTTGATAGTTCAGTATACTGAAAAAAAACAAAAAAAAACTTATGTCAAATTCTATACTAATAAATATGATTTTTAGTCCAGTCCACATAAAAACCTTTACAGCCATATTTACCTATAAAATTCTATTACTATCACTATTGACAATGTTATAGCATTTCATTATTACAAGTGTGGGCTGAAAAGTTCAAAGGTTGATTATGAAGGAGTGATGTGGGAACTGTGAAATCTTGCTAGCATTATTTTCAACTTTTCTTATTAATATCTGTATTGTTTCTTTCAAGGTAAAGTGACATCTGACTGTTCAATGAAGACAATCAAAAGTAACTAGTAGCGACTTCTCTTGAAAATGGACATAATTTGGTATCATTCTATTATCAAGTACTTGCAGAAAAAAGGTTTAGTTCCCAAAGACATTCATTCTGATGTGGTTGCTACATTAAATGATGACACTCCAGTTTTATCAACAGTACAAAAGTATGAAGCTAAATTTAGGAGTGAAAGGGAAGAGTCTTGAAGATGATGTAAGCTGTGGATCTCCTGCAACTGCCACCACCAAGGAAAACAGTGATCATTTTAGCATATCCTATAGGAGAATTGTGAATATTCTGCACAATCAACTTGACAAAGTTTTCTGCTTGGTGGGCTCCATGTCTTCTGACACATGATCAAAAAGTACATCAGACTGCTAACATCTCAGGAAAATCTGACATTGTTTAAGGCAGATCCAGTTGGTTTCCTTTCCTAACTCAGGATAAGTGTTGTGTTCATCACTTTGTGCCAGAGACAAAGAGACAATCCATGCAATGGAAACACCCCACCTCACCTGCTCCAAAGAAGGCCATGGTCATATCATCTGCAGAGAAGGTGATGACCTCAGTTTTTTGGGATGCAAAAGGTACTGTGTGTATTGACTATCTTCAAAAGGGGCTACACCATCAATGGAGAGTGCTATGCCAAATTGCTGAGCTAGTTATGAAAGGCTATCATAAATAAATGCCCATGAAAACTGACAAATAGGGCCTTGTTTCATCAGGACAATGCTTCTGCACGGAAGTCTTTGGTTTCAATGGCTGTTGCGAATGACTACAGCTTTGAACTGGTTGAACACCTTCCCTATTTTCCTGCTTTGACTTCCACCTGACTATCATCCATTCCCCAACATGAAAAAAACACTTGGCTGGGAACTAGTATCACAGTGATGATTATGATGTTGTATCTAATGTTGATGACTTTTTTGACTGACAGGATGAAAGCTTCTTTACCAATGGAAGAAGATCAATGTAAGACATGTGGACTGCACAGGGGACTATTTTGTAAAATAAGCCTCAATTGGTAGGAGAGTATCTTGGTCAGCCTATGAACTTTTCAACAGACCCTCATATGTAACAATCATAGTTGTAGCTACATAAACTGCTACATAGCCATAAAAGATTCTGGAGATCCAATTTGTGTATAACAATGAATTATTCTCAGCTATAAAACAAGGTCAATGTTCTAGATCGATCATAACTTTTAATAAAGGGCTGCAAACTACTCTCATTTACCCACCATAGAGAACCTCCCATCAGGATAGCTGATGCCCAACTCCATGAGAGAGAGCCTCTCTGCACCTGCTTGGTCTCACACTGTCTGCTGACTTGAAGTGGAACAACTACACTGAATCCATAGCTTCATCTACTGCAAGAAAAATTGGTTCTCTGTTTCACGCCAGGTTTTTCTCACCTAAGTCCATTCTTCAAATCTACAAATCAACCATTCATCCTTGCATGGAATACGGCTGCCATATATGGTCTGGTGCTCCTGCTGTTCATCTGGAGGCCCTCGACAAAATCCAGAGATTTGAAATGGTTAAATGAAACCATCTTTTCTACTCCAACAGCTTCTTATCTTCCACCTCCTATCAGTGAAACTCCCTTCCGATCACTTGCTTCTCTGATAGCTATAATCTTCAAATATTCAAATGTAATGTCAATCAACATCTTCTGATGCTTTGAGTTTGATCCCTGTCCTTCTCTTTGTCCTTTTCCTAAACACTCCTCTTTACTCTTACTCTCCGTAATACCTTGTGTGCTAGTGGCACTCCCGCCTTGCTTGGAATTATTTGCTTAAATAAATAAATAAATAAATAAATACACAGTTTCACAACAGGGTATTCATCTTACACAGTGTAGATATATATATATATATATTAATGAACTCAATGTTCAAATGACCCTAACTTTATCTGACAAAATAAAGAGAGGCAACAAGATTTCTCACCTTTGGAAATTATCATTAGGTTTTTCTCCATTCTTGATAACTGTCACAAAATGATTTGTTAAGACAAACGGCACTCGATCACGTACAACACCAAATTTTTTCTTAGTATTTCCCAGTATGTGTCCAAAGTCAATATGGAAAAGCTTCAAGAAAAACACAAAAAAAATAAAAAAATACTAGTCAATTGATGCAAAGAGAACAAATTCATATTATGCTAAGATTTCTGCTAAAAAATATATCTGACTACAATGAATAATGTTTTAAAATACAACATACAAACTAAGGTGTGTGTGTGTCTGTGTGTGTATACTTCTATATACATCAATACAAACAAAGTTTTATTAAAAACTTTATATCATTAGTAAAGATCTGCAAGAAAAACTATCATATGTGATGGCATATATCCATATCCCATCCCCAATCTTTTCCATTACAATATTATAGTCAGGTGAGATGCAAGTACTGGTAATATATGGCATCTTTATAAACATTAGTTTATTAGATACTTTGAATATCTGACCCAGAGGATATCTTCTACACCAGGGATTGGCAACTTTTGCTATGTGCTGACTTCGGGTTCTAAAATCATTCACTTTGACAATAGCATGTGTATTTTTATACAAGTCAAGGTCAATATACCTGTTCTACAATATATTTTATATAGTATAGTATATATACTTTAGTATATATTAAAATTGAAACAACTAAATATCTTTGCATTGTAGTAGTTATTGGTTCAGACTTTGTGATGTCATTTACAGCTGTGTGCCATTGGAAATTGCTTTGGCGTGCCACATGTGGCAAGTATGCCATAGGTTGCCAACCCCTGTTCTACACTATATTTGCAAGAGTGATTTTATATACCATCCAATATATTACATATTTATGCAACACAATCTGCCCTTAACTTTTTTTGTTCAAGACCATCAAAAAGAGAACATACTCAACAATAGAATATATAAATGTATTCCAAAGAATTAGAATATCATGGAAAACCAAATATTGACTGCACAAATAAAGAGACTTTTGAGAAATTCAACATTTCTGAATTATAAATCTTTTTTTTTTTTTTTTTTTTTTATTAATCTCATGAAACATTCTGAGATAGCAGATTTGGATTTTCATTACTTGTAAACCTTAATCATCAAAATTAAAACAAAAAACACCTTGAAATATTTCACTTTATGTGTAATGAATGTGGAATTACTAAAAAAAATATTTTGATGACATAATTCTTTGAAATACACCAGTAGCTTAAAAGACATCTTTACATTCAAACACACTATCAGGTCAAGCACATATTTTACAAAGAAATTCAATTTTATTCCTAAGTCAGAAAATTCAGTTACAGTCTTTCTAAAAAGAATTGTTTTATGCTAAAATATATAAGAATATATATAGAAATTCAATCATACTGAAAGATCTGCTGACTGAAATTAATTAAAAATTTAACCACCTTTCAATTATGTTACCGGAGAAATAAAAAAAAAAAAAAAAAAAGCATTTACCTGTCCATTTTTCTTTATCATAATATTGTCATTGTGTCGATCACAAATACCAAGGACATAAGTAATGACACTGTAACCAGCACAAGAAAGCGTAAACTCCTCCACAGCTTTGTCCAAACTAACAAAAAAACAACTCATTGAATTAAAATAATGTGTAATGAAATAAAAATCACAACTTCAATATCTGTCTATATCTCTGAAATGAGGTATTATGATTAATTACATTATTCAGACCGTTATCCTCATCTTCATTGCCATATTCACAATGGCCTTCTTCAGGTTATTGTTCTAGTTCCACATGCCATGACTCTTCTGGGTGTCTCACTTATTTCCCTTTAACTCAACTCTCCAAGTTTTTTGGTTCACCACTACTGTAGCCTGATATTGAACTCACAAATCTTTGGGTCTAGTCACTGGATCTAACCAACATCTTTATTCACTGGGCCACGTGTCGAATCACCTGAAAACGGCCAAAGTATATAAAAGCCGAAACGTTGTGAATATGGCAATGAAGATGCGGGTAATGGTCAAAATAATGTAAATAAATTACAACCTATTTTGGGTTTTTTCTTTGAAAAGTCTTTAGTGGAAGTATAAGAGATGATATAGAAATTGATATAACCAAATTAATAGTGAAATGACAAAATCAGATAAAAAATAATCATACCTTAATGCATTTCATCTCTAGAATAAACCTTTTCAACCTGATAAGGCGTTTTGATAAATAATAAAGGTTTCTGAATGAGGTTGGTTAGCTTCAGAATCTAGATAAAATTTAAATTTAATTATTCTTATATCTTCAGCATTTTTCATTTTTATGCAAAATTGGAAATTAGAAAAAAAAAAAAAAAACTATATTATCCTAATGTCCTACACTTATAGACACTGAGTGCAACTGTATCCAGTTCAATCTATTAACAATCATAAGATTCAAATAACTGACAAGCAGGTTGTATAAAAGCCAACCTATTAGCAAAAATATCACATTAAGTTTTTACTCTAAATATTAACCAAAGTATGGATTTTATAATATTAACACATATATTAAATATATGAAAACATTGAAACTTACTTTTCTTTCTTTGGATTCATTTCCTTGAGCCATTCATAGACACACCGGTTGGAAGCTTTATCAAATTTACGCTGGATATTAGCAATTGTTTGTGCATCCACAGCTTCAATCATGCCTGTATTTCTTCCCGTGCAAATACAACCATATGGATTCAATCTGAGAAAAGGGGGAAAAACAAAACACAATAACATTTTGTATTCATAAAATAAGGAATGCAAATAATTGGAAGCGGATGTGTTCCTAATCTCCCGCCAATAGATCACCTGAAATTTGATATGTATAGCAAAGCTGAGGATCCTGTGAAACTTGCATGCCATAGAAGCAAATATTATTGAATCTGGTTTTTCATCAGAGAGAGAGAAAAAAAAGGGAGCAAATTTCTCAAGCAACCAAGTGCATGAAATATACTTTGCTGCCTACTTATAAATGCAGAAAAAAATCTGTTAAAAAATACTTAAGCATTCCCACTCAGTTCATTGATAATTCTTTGAAAAGTTCCACTTGAAATTCCTTGATTTTTGGGACATCAACTATACTGGGCTTTAGTAAGTATATAATTGTGCCAGACGAATAGACAAAGAAATACACATTGGAAAATACGCACCTGAAAAACTTAAATTCGGTTGTGCCATCTTGGTAAATAAGTGCGAATTTGTAAAACTAATATTACAAGGCTCTTCTCTGAATTGAGTAATGTCAGTCATTGGCATGTTTATTAAATATTTTTTATCTTTTTCTGGAGATTTGATTTCTCCATAAAATAAATCCATACAACCATCTCTTGATGCTTTTGTTGGTGTCCAGCAGAAAACAGATGATGATAACTATTTTTCAAGGAGTGATCTTTTCCATAAATTGAATTCACCTAAAATTTAAAGTAGTTGAGACATTTAGCTCTTAGTTACAGTTCAGACTGCCCCTTGATACAATCCCTAGAAAGGGATAGGTCAACCAGATCAAGTGACATCTCAAAGAGAATAGTAACAGGTTGTTTCTAAGGAAGTTGGAGGAAGGAGAGGAGGTAACAGCTATGAGTGGAAGTCAGAGATGCAGAAGAAAACAAGCTGGAGTTGGATGGGTGGATTAACCCTCTCACTACCACTAAGGGGCTGGATAATTGCCCAAAATTGGAAATCACAGTTGAGACAAGGAAATGGTTGATATTTCTATGCCAGTCAGACCCCCACCTAGTTTTGACTGAAGTATTATAAAAAATGGGCATTTTGAGGTTTTCAGTGACAACAGGGCCACAAGTTGAGCAGAGTAGAACTGCACGTTGGGCAGAGTAGTTCAGCAAACTCTACAGGAGAACTCCAAGAAAGAGTTATCACTTATATTTGAATCAGAATGTGCCTACAGCTAACTCCTGAACCCATGATCGTGTACCAATCTAAAACCAACAATTAGTCACCCACAGTGAGCAACTAAGAGGCCAAATTGTCCAGCACTCTCTCAGTTTTCCTGTTAGGGTTAAGCTTGTATTTTTTCTGATGTTACCTTGTATAAAAAATCTGTTAAAGTTGAAAAAAGTTGTTATCTCCCTCATTATGTAACCATCAGAGCCATCATTAGCCGTGGTATACAAACTCCTGCAGCAGATTTCTGGTCTTTTGAGATCAGTCACAACATGAGCATTCGACTGGACTTTTTGACAACTGTAGAAGTCACTGCAACCAATGGTTGATGGAAGAAATCCAATATTGATGGCCATTATCGGATATGCAGTGAGCCCTTTAGCTCATCGGCTGACTAGATGGCGTTATACTTATTTCTTGTTCTTTTATTGTTCTCTCTCTCTTTAATAGTGTTTTTCTGTTTCTCATATTCTCTAACAATCAATAACTCCTTGCATCTTAGTGGATTTATTACCTTGCTTGGGGTAAAATGATTAAAAAAATGGCTTAACATTAAATCAAAATTCCTTGATAATTCCCAGATTTTTCTTTAAAAAAAAATTTTCAATTTCTCAATTTCTGTTATCCAACTTGGCTTTGGACCGTCATATTTTTTTATACACAATATTATGATCAACAAAATATGTCACATCATTGTTTTGTTCATTACACTTTGGCTGATCTGTTCTCTAGCTTTTATGGACATGTTAAATTCAGTAATACTTAAATAGAGTCCATTATTTTTTGTGTGTGTGGTAGATATACATGCATACAGATTGCGTGCAGACATGCATGCCAGCACCAGTTACATCCAGGTTTTTCCTGTTAGTAGTGGGACAACTTTGCATGTCCAGATACAGGTCTCTCTGTAACTGGTCAAGATCTGGATTTTCGTAAGTTGCCACAAAATAAAAGCAATGAGGAAACCAGCAGTTGGTAAAATACAGTATCTTATGAAGTCAGTCCCATGAGCATTTTGTTATTAAAGTTGTTGTGGTTTCTGAAGTAGTGTTATTTTGTTACCTCCTGTCTCTTTCCCACCCTCTCTGCCTATTAACCCTGTAATTGCTGGGAGAGCAATCACTTAGGCATTTCCCCCAATCTTAACACACTCTTACCATAGAGTATAACATATTTTTTTTTTTTTTTTTTTTTTTTAATAATTTTCTTCATTCTTCAAATTATGACAATTCAGCAACAAGTTAATAGAGATTTAATATTTTATTAGCAATAAGAAAAAGATTCTTTTGCTGTGTACTAACAACATATATAAGTAATTAAAAAGTTTTAAGAAAGATTACAATATCAACTAAAGAAGTGTTTAGATGTGAGGTAAATCTTACCGTAAGTCTAAGCCTTCTTCTTGCCAAATGAAGTCGACAATCTGAATGACTTGAAGAATCAACATGTCCTGACGCAAATCTAATAAAAATAAAAATATAAAAATAAAAGTAAAATAAATAAAAGTAATTAAAAATAAAAGTAAATAAAGGTAAATAAAAAAGTAAAAAAAATAAAAAACAGAAAAGTTTGGCATGAAAGATTTTATTAAAAAATAAAAAATATATTTCTTATATAAACAAACATTTTTATGAATAAAAAAGTTATACATTAAATTGTCTATATTTACAAGGGTGGATCAATAACTTGGTAACCTTTCACCTGAAACTCACCATATAATATTCAATTTATTTGAATAATGAAGACCTATTGGGTCATATGCATTAACAAGGAAATTAAATTAAGAAATATACACTTGTATAAAAATAAATGCTTCTTTCATCTTTAGAAATGAGTTATAATAGAAAGTTAATAAGTTATGCTTCAAATTCTGTTAGATTAATTTGAATCTGAAGTGTATTTACAGTAGAAACAATCTATTGAATCCAAAAACAATGTGACTGGAATTCAATTCTGTAAATTTTTATTATGAAAATTCTGCAGTAAAATAGGAGACCACCTCCAGTAAATGAGTTTCAAAATTTCATTGCAAATCTCAAAACTAAAATCAATGTGAAGTGGAGAATGGTGACCAGAATTTTATTCATACAGTAGAAAATATCATTTTAAATTGATTGATTCATGTAAGTACAGTGTAACCCGGATATAAGAGAGTTGTCGGGACCGGAGAAGAAGTCTCTTATATCCGGGTTTCTCTTATATCCGGGTTTGGTCTATTTTATATACATTAACACAAACTCTAATTTGGGACCAGAGAAAATCTCTCTTATATCCGGGTTACACTGTATAAGTAATTTACATAATTATTTTATTGGTGAAGCCTTCTAGACTATTTATTCAGTAGAATATTTGTAATAATTCTAGCAAAGAACATCATGTGGTGCATAGAGTGCCACCATTGTTATTTTTACATTAACAACATGACGGGGAAGACAAAAGAGCTTAGCATTGACTTGAGACAGTGAATTATTAACTTCCACAAGTCAGGAAATAGTTACAAAACTATTTCAAACTGGTTAGCTATCCCTAGATCTACAATACAGCCTATTATAAAGAAATTTAAACAATTTGACATGACAGAATTTACCTGAGCATGGAAGAAAACCCAAATTGTCACCGAGAACTGCACAAAAACTGTGTCACAAAGTTAATATAAACCCAAGAGTTGTTTTGAAAGACATCGCCAAAAGTTTGGATACGCTGAGTATCAGTGTAAGTACTTGCACAATACAACATTGTTTAAATAGAAATGGGTTGTATGGAAACCAACCATGACAAACTCCTATTCACAAGCCATGTCACATGTTGCTCAGTTTAATTTTGCCAAAACGTTCTTGGACAAAGAAAATTGCTTTTGTGAACAAGTACTATGAAATAATGAAACAAAAATTGAGCTTTTTGGACATAATGATGTACAGAAGATTTGGCACAAGAAAGGTGAAGCTTTCCTCCCAACGAACACAGTAGCAACATTAAAACATGGAGGCAGCTCGATAATGTTTTGGGGTTATTTTAGCTCAAGGAGGAGACTGGACAATTAATTGCAATAAGAGGAATAATGAAATCTGGATGAAAAATCTACAACTATCAGCATAAAATCTTCATGTAGGTCAGCAATTTACTTTCCAGAAAGATAATGATCTCAAACATACATCTAAATCAGTGAAAGCATGACTTCAGAAAAAGAAGATTACAGTTCTGAATTGGCCTTCAATGAGTCCTGACTTGAATCCTATTGAAAATCTATGGCAACAATTGAAAGTTTGAAAAAATCATCAATCAACAAAAACTTTCAAGGAATTAGAATATGTAACCATTGAAAAATGGAAGAAAATCCCAAAATAGACTTGTTCAAATCTTATCAAAAACTTTAGAAAACAGTTACAGCAAGTTATAAATTTGAGAGGCCATGCTATATTGTGAAAATTGTTCAAATTTTTCATACTTTACAAATAATTTTGTCTGTCAAATTTGCTGTATTTAACCTATTGTTCTGAAAATTGAGTTTTATATTCCTTTTTTTGTGCTTATTAACATATAAAACACCTGATATCATAGATAAGTAATGGATAAGAATATTAAAAAATGATGGATATACAAATAATTTTATCATTGACTGTACATATCCCCTTGTTTGCTGCAGGGTCATGTAGTTTACATGTATATTTAAACAACAAAAATTCAATCAAACAAATTTTATTAAATTCAATGGTCAGAATTTATCTGTTTAATTTTCTATCACATTTTCCATTTAAGACTAAGTTGGCACACATCCAGATCAAATTTGTTGAGCAACAATCCAAAGTTCATGTTTTTGTTGAATTACTTTCTCTGGTCATTTTCAAGAATTAAATGTTGTCATCCCTCTCATAGAGAAAAGATCTTATCGTCCTCAAATGTCAGAATGAACCTAATAAAAATTTGTTTCTCTTGCCCTGATAACATTAACATTACTAATGAGAAATAGAGATGGTCGAAAATATTAAAAAAAAAAAAAGAAAAAGAAAAGAAAACATAAACTTTGGACAGTTTTTCTACAAATCTCATCCCGATATTCAACAACTTGTACACAAATTGGAAAAATATGAAAAAAAAATTAAACATTGTCAGTTGATAAAACGTATTTGAAAATGTATTTCATAGCACAATAATTATCAATATTGTCTCACAAATAAATTCACTAATGCAATTAAAGCAATCTTCACAGGATGCTCCTATTCTGTAGCCTTTTACTAGACTAAAGTGATTAAAAAATTGTGTGTGCATCTCTGCACACAATATTTAAAAGTCTGGATATGTTCACATGTTGTGAGACTTAAGTGATTAGACAATTGGTTCACTTAGAGTAGAGAAACAAATTACAAAACAATGATGGACCAAGAAATTTTAGTTCAGTTCTCAAGGTTGATTGATTGTTTTTTATGGCTTATCAACCTCATGTCATTTATTTAAAGTCAAAGTATATTTTGGATTGTAAGAATAATTCTTGTTTTGCAAGTGAATATTGCATTAACAATTGTTTTGAGAATAACAAAGTTTTTTTCTAAATACATGTCCTACTATTTAACCCATAGCTGGAGTGGGAGAAGATGGATCAGTTCAAGGAAATGGATATGTTAGATTTGTAAATCAAGGCAGATCTTTCATTGCATAGCAGTAACCATTGGGAAATAACTTGTATAATCAAAAACAAAATAGTTTTAGTGAAATGTCTAATAATGAATAGTAAACACTGTTATTAATTCATATTTGGGATTAAATATTTATGAAAATATATTATTATAAGATGCCTTATATTTAAGAAGCCTGATGATAAAATAAAAATGTTTCCCTTTGTGAAAAAAAAGAAAATACAGAAAAAGAAATGAACAGAAAAATGTCAAAAATTCCTGTGAAGAATCTAAAAATCTGCTCTTACCGTCTCCATTTTTGTAAATGATGCTAAAATGGCATTCATTTTCTTTCAGTTCTTCATTTTCCCACACCAGCCATAATGGTCGCATCTTGGAATCCAAAAATTTACACTTTTGCACTCTGAAAAGAGAAACAAAAAAAAACAAAGATGTTTATTCCTGAAACAACATTTCTCAGGTGGTAAATTAGTTGCATGACCTACAAGAGAGTCAGGATACCATGCTAAACTTATCCTTCCCCGCCATTTCTAATGCATAAAAGAAATATTTGCCATATTCTAGTTGCTTGCTTGATGGGTGTGGATGATGCCATGATCATCATGGGTATGACGATAAAGTTCATCAGCATCCTAGACAATAAACTACACCCAACAGCAAGGCCTCTAATCAGGAGGTTTTGATGAGCATGGAACCACCTCTTAATTGCTTGTGTTCCCAGGTCCAACCTGAACTGGGGTGGTAGCACCTGTTAGGGGTCCCAGCTATGGGTAAATAGTTAACCCCCAAATTGGGGTCAAAACATGTAAAAATAGGTTTTAATACCAGCAATAAATTTTTGAAGAAAAAATTATTACCAGCAATACTTTTTTTGGAAAAAATATTACCTAAAATACTTTTTGAAAAAATATTACCTGAAATACTTTTTGAAAAAATATTACCAGCAATAAAAATCTTGTTGGCATTAAATATCACATTGAGGTTGATATGCCATAAAACAAACCAAACCAAATGATATCATGAACAATGACTCAGTAGGAGACATTGCAGAGCTGAATTCTAATTCCAATCAAGTTTGTTACATGCATTTTCACACAAATACCCTTGGAATAGGTATGCAGTCATCTCTTCTACCCTCAGCTATGGATTAAATAGTAAGGCAGGTTGGGCTCTCTAACCATAGTTAGCAACCAGTCTAGAAGAAGGACAAGTTTGAATTTAAAACTGTATGAAGCTCTGGCTATGCAACAAACAAAATGATTTTGTAGTTCGCAATGACAATGGGATCCCTAACTGCAGTCATTTTGCATTTTTCTTTTTCCCCTTCACAATTCCTTTCTATATTGACACCAATGACAAGCACCTCACTAATCTGCACTCAAACCACATGACATGTGAAGGATAAGAGACTTGTCAAACTATATGAAAACTGGTCTGAACACAGATGACTTCATGACTTTCCCAAGTACAAAATGAACACAAACAGCTTCAGCCAAAATTTGAACTTCAACATGATCATCATTTTCCACAAAATATATACACAGTTAATAAAATTTGGTTCAGTGATTTTCTATTTCTATGAATCTTAGGCCACTGTTTTTTATAGGTTAGATATTTTAAGATTTCACAAGAAATTTTCTGATCAACATAAAAAAGAACAAAGTTTAATTTTGCTATTGAATATTAACACAGTTCTTTTGTTAAAACTAAATATCCATCTATTCAAAACTTATTAAACACACATGACACTTTCTGAAAAAGTTGTTCAACTAAACGTAGTAATTTACTGAATTATGCATTGGTAATTTCATATTACACAAATTTTGAAAAAAAATACACATCTAATACTATGATACAGACACAGATCAAGAGAGATAAGGTGAAAAAGATAGTTGTAGATGGATATAAAAAAAATAATCATTCCAAAAACGCCTATCATTTCTTCACAAATCATAATTTCTATTCAAGATGGCAACTGAAGAAGTTTTCATATAAAAATCTCTTTGAATGTCACTCAAAAGAGAAACCCATTTGAAAATTTGTTACAAAAAGACATTCTATATTTCCTCCAAATTCAACTTTGTCCAAATATAGTATTCTGTTTGAATCATTAGTATCCATAGCAACATACACAGACATATACATGTAGGTACATCAATAAGTTGGCAGCCTAATAATGAAAAAGGCATTCATTTCTTCTTTTTTTTTTTTTTTTTTAAAACAATTCACTCCAAGCAAATCAGTAGTGCCACTAGTACACAGTGGGTTACAGAGAGTGAAAGTGAGAGAAAAGTATAGGGAGGATTGAGGAGAGGATAGACAACAGAAGATGGCAATGGACATTGCATTTAAATTTTTAAAGATTGTAGTTATCAGGGAAGAAAGTAAGTGGAAAGAAGTTCCACTGTCGGGAAGTGTGTGAAAAGAAACTGTTAAGAGTAGAAGTGGTGGTTACATTTAACTCTTTTAACAGTAAAAGGGTGGGACCTACATGCCAATCTAGTAGCATGCTTAAATCCATGTAGTCAGGGCACCAGATAAAAAAACTTGTCAGAGCAGTTGCCATGAAAATATTTGTAGAAAAGACAAAGGGTAGCCACATCACATGTGTGTGAAAGCAACTGATGTTGAGTTGCCAAGTCAGGATCGATGACATTGCAGATCCTTCTTTGGATTTTGTCAAGAACCTTGAGATGAACAGCAGGGGCACCAGACCAGATATGGCAACAGTATTCATTGCACAGACAAATAGTAGATTTGTAAAATGGACTCTGACGAGATAAAACTTCTGGCATGACACAATGAACCAACTTTCCTTGCAGTAGATGCAGCTATCAATTCAATGTAGTTGTTCCATTTCAAGTCAGTCGAAAATGTGAGGCCAAAAAGGTGCAGTGAGACACTCTCCTGGAGTTGAGCATCAGCCATGCTGATGGTGAGCAGAGAAGTTTCTCTGTGGTAATTAAATGAGAACAGTTTAGTTTTGGAGGCATTAAAATTTACGAGTCATTTCCTGCCCCAGTTAACCACTGATTGGAGGTCCTTTTCAAGAGCAGCGGCCAAGTTAACTTTGTGAGGGTAAAAGGTAGTGTCATCAACAGAGATGCCTACTTGGGAACTGATGACACCAGGAAGATCATTGATGAAGATCAGAAACCATGTAGGACCCAGGATAGAGCCTTGGGGGACACCCCCGTTCATGTGAAAGGATCTGGAAGAGAGCCCATTCAGAACTACCTTCATTTCACAATTAAATAGGAATGATTGGATTAACTCAAATAATTGTCCTATAATACCACAGACCTGAAGCTTACATAGAAAACCAGCATGCAAAACCCTGTCAACTGCCTTTGAGATATCTAGAGCCATAGCACAAACTTCATCATTATTATCAAGAACTTGATATACATATTCAGCTATGGCTATAAGCACATATATCAGCAATAGATCGGGCAAAATGAAAACCATATTGTTTATCAGAGGGTAGGATGTGAAAGGTAAGATGCTTAACCACTTCAGCATTGATTAAAGCCTCGAAGACTTTGCTGAAAAGTGGTAGGAGACTGATAGGGCAATAGAGGGATCAGAAGATTCTCCAGAGTTTTTTTTAGACAGGGACTACAGATGAGGACTTCCAACAAGCTGAAAAGCATCAAGGCAATAATTGTATAGTTTGGAGTAAACTGGAGCCAGCTCATGAGCACATTTCTTTTAGGACAACAGCTGGTATTCCATCCCCTCCATTTGTCTTGTGGGAGTCCAATTTAGAAATGATGTCCGAGACCAGTGACAGAGTTATGTGCATATCACTCAGTAGGGCCACAGTTTTAGGGGGGAAATCAGGTGTGGGTACTCCAGATGAGTCGAGTTTGATGAGAATTTCCAAGCAAAGCATTCAACTTTATCTACTGTTGATGTCAGGACTTCAAATTGATTGAATATGAGAGGGATTGAGGATTTGCTGTTGTACAGCACACTCTTGCAGAGCCACCAATTGTCTCCAGAACCGAACTTGCAAGATGTTATATGTTGTTTCATTCTATCAGCGAATCATAACTTTGCTTCATTGAGGACATGCTTGCACTCATTACAAGCAAAGACAAAGAGACGTCTGTTGCAATCAGACATGTCGCTCTGGTACAGCTGAAAGAAGTGATTCCTGTGGGATATAGTGGCAAAGCATGCAGGTGATAGCCAAGGAGATGAACACTGTATAAGTTGGTATTTCCTTGCTGGAATGAAAGCATTGAAGACAGCTTTGTTTTAGTCACCAAAATCTCATCTACCAGACTGACAACCAGTGGTGACTGACTGATTTTGATGACTGACAACCAGTCTGGTAGATGAGATTTTGGTGACTAAAACAAAGCTGGCATCAATGCTTTCATTCCAGTTCTTGATAATGACTGCAACAGTTGAAAACACTCAAAAAAAAAAAAACACAGAACAAAAACTATGAACAGTTAATCCATAATTTTTATGTATAACAACTTATTTGAAAATTTTTATAGTAAAAAATTAAAAAAATAACAAGGGTGGGTTGAAAAGTTCATAGGCTATGACGGAATGATGCTAGAGTTGTGAAATCTTTCATGCATTTATTTTAACTCTTCTTATTAATAACTGCAGTGTTTCTTTCCTGGTAAAAACTGATATTTGACTGTTCAATGAAGACTGTATCTCCTGTTTATCAAAATTCATCAACAGCAGATCTGACATCAACATCACTGCAATATTAGTTCTCAGCCAAATGTTTATTCATGTTGGGGAACAGATGATAATCAAATTAGAAAAACAAAGGGATTATAATCAGTCAGTTCAAAGCTACAGTCATTCACTGCAGCCAATAAAACAAAACCCCTTTCATCAGTTTTCCTGGGCATTTAATCTTGATAGACTTTTTTTTTAACTGCCTCAGCATGTTGGCATAGCCCTCTCCATTAATGGTGTGGCCTTTTTGCAGATAGTAAATAAATACAATGTCTTTTGAATCCCCCAAAATCTGAGGTCATCGCATTCTCTGCAGATGAAATGACTTTGGCCTTCTTTGTAGCAGGTGAGGAGAGGTGTTTCCATTGCATGGATCCATCTGTTCATCTCTGGTTCAAAGTGATGAACTCAACACTCATCCTGGATTTAGAAACTTTCAAGAAAACCAACTGGATCTTCCTTAAGCAATGTCAGATTTTGCCATGTGGACTTTTGATCAGGTATCAGAAGACATGGAACCCACCAAGCAGAAACCTTTGTCCTGCACTGTGCAGAATATTCTCAACTCTTTCATGGGATATACAAATAGCATTGACTATTTCACTTATGTTTGATTCAATTTATTGTAAGAATAATTCTTTTTTTATGAAAGTCCATTGCATTAATAAATTGTTTTGAGAATAATAAGGATTTCTAAAGCTACAACTCTTACTATTTAATCAATAGATTGGGGAAAAGGTGGATTCATACCTTTCCCAAGGATATTTGCAAATAAGTGAACATAATGAGGTGGATTGGAATTCAAATTTTACAGATGGAAGTCTGTTTTTTTTTCTCCAGTATTTTGCAATCCATGGCACTGTCTAATATTCTTTCAATGTTATGTAATGCATTTGTAGCAATAAAGGAAAAACAAAACCAAATCATTATACTTCTAACACCATGTTAGGATGGTACTTGTGGTGGGTGTGGTTGTCATGAAGTTTACTTCTTGCTCTAGATTTGTTTTGAATTGTTTCCATCAAAGACTGATTTTAGTTTCATCAAACCATATTTTGTCCCAGAATGAAGTACATTTCTAAATTACTGGAATAAAGTATTACTTAAAATATGTATATTTAGCAGGCAAAGAAATTTTACAGTTACAGCTAAATATTTCATAAAAAAAATAAAAGTTCATTATAGAAATACAAGAATCATCTAGAGCAACAAAGACCCTTTCCAAGATGTGATTTACAACACAGTAGATATAAAGTAGATACTAAGATATATGTAAAAGATATAAAGTATATATAAAGTAGATGAAAATAGAGGACAAAAGGCTGAGAAGTAAATCAGATGATTGACTTACAATAATTTCTTGAGATTCCACAGTGGATTCAAAGGACTGTGTAAATTGCTCAATGCCATAGAATAGGCATTCTGGCAAAGAACTTTCCGAAGGTCAGCACTTAAGTTTTCTTTGTTTTTCTGGAAAAAAAATTATTGACCATTATTGCTGATAGAATATTTGGCATCAAAATAAAAAAAACTTTACTTGCCTTAAGATTATTTCTAAAATCAAACCATGGATTTGAGGAAAGTGAATTTTTGGGGACAATGATGTTCACCTTGTACAAGGCCCAAGAGCCACTTGAAGTAGTGATTTTAATTTTCTAGATGTTTTAACTTCTAAATAGTTTCATAAACTTAAATGATATTAATGATAAACTCCTATTTATTTTTCTTATAATGCTGGTTATAATTTTTTTTTTCTTTACTATATTTGTTTTGAAATGTGTGCTGAAAAGTTTTGCAATGAATAGTAAAATAGTGGTATTTCTTAAGGAATATTTTTATTGACAAACAAAAGATAACCTATCTAGTTTATTTAAAGAATTTGTAAAAGTTTACTCTAAGCTATGTAAATGTCACTAAAATATATCACAATTAAAAAAAAATTATCAAGACAGTTGCAGGCAAGTTAGAGGGTGCTTCATCTGAAAGGGCCCCATAAATTCATTAGCCTAGGGGTCCCAAAAGGTTATAATCCGGTCCTGCTCACATCTCTTTTCTTTCTTTTTTATGTGCCATGTCCCTTCAGGGCGTAGGATGATCATGGCTCTCCACTTCCCCCTATCCCTTGTAGCTCTCAATTTTCATCCCTCTGTCACCTCTCCCAGACCATTGTCATCCACTTGCTTAAGCCTGCCAGCTATGTCATACATTGCTTTCCCTTGTCTCTCTCTCTATTCAACTTTTGATTCTCCAGGCCTTTTTTCCTCATTACATACATCAGTTCTCTGTATTCAGCTCTTCCAAAAAAATGCAGTCAGTTCTGCACAAGCCTTCAGCACTATAATCAAATGAAATGTGTGGGTCGTCTGGCTGTTTGATTCTAGAAATTGAGCTGTTTGACCACCAGATGTTTAAAAATGATGGGAGAGTCTTCCATATATTTAAAGACATTTATAGTTAGTCAATGTTGACTAACAAAGTTCAATAAAAGAGTTCAATACTATGTAGAGTTTAAATTAACATAAAAATTATAAAATATAAAAACCTTGGCAACTTAAGTTTCATTATCCTGATCAGTCACCATCAGCCTAGGTTAGGTTTTTATAATGATGAACTATTTGAATTCTCCACATTTAATTGCGTAGTTAATACCAATTTCAAATATGAATGCTAATTATATAAAATAAAAAAATTAATAAAGTGGGAAAAAAACAAAAAAAAAACTGTATATTCTGTAAGTGATATTATAACTTTATTTGTATTTGCGATAGAAATAATCTGTAAAAAAAAGTTATAAAGTTTTGTGTACGTAGTTTTAAGTGTAGCTAAAATAAATGTGATTTCAGGCATTATTGTAAATCAGTTGGCAAATGTTTTCCATGAACTGCAAAATTGTATTACCCTTTGTATTGCTAATGATGGAGGACATGTGGAAACTTAAATAAGATTTCAATAAAACCTTAAAAACATAGATTTACTTTTTCTAATCCTTTTACAAATTATTTCTATCGCAAATACAAATAAAGTTATAAATTTTTAAATTGCACACAAACTTTATGGACACCCTATATATATATATATATATATATATATATATATATATATATATATATATATGTGTGTGTGTGTGTGTGTGTGTGTGTGTGCTATAAGTGTACAGGAAATCCTATAAAGCCAGCATGAAAGGAAATTTTTTCTCACCAATGACTTCATTTAGATTATTATTTTCCATGAATAGAATTATTTACATTACATCAACAAATTTGTCAAAATATTTTTAAAAAATGAACTGTATTTTACTGGCCTTGTGACATTCTATATTTTTAGTGAGTGTATAAATTATTATTATTTGTTTAAATATGCACTGTCGACCAATAGCACTTGGATCAGGTTTAAATCCAGGTTTCTCTATCTCACTATATATATATATATATATATATATTTTATTAGTTTAATAGTAGTTTAAATGTTATTTTTAATAGATACCTATATTTGAGTAGGTGCTCTGTTTTTTATTTATTTATTAAACAGTATTATAAATAGTATATTGTCAATAATGACAATTTCTTATATCAAGAGAGAAAAAAAAAAAAAAAAGGAAAAGTTTTTTAAAATATAGAACTAAAGTGACTAAATAGAAACAATATTGTTTGGTAAAAAAACCCAAATGGGATACAAACGCGATCATTAAGGGCAAGGGTGCTATTTTTGATGAGCATATTGGCTGCATCGATCTTAAGAAGTGCTTCATTCTGTTTGATCAAATCCGTTGTGTGATCTTGGGAAGATTTGCAATAAACCTCAAGAATCAGGCTGAACCGTAAATTCATCTGACGATCATGCATATCAGACCTAAAAAAAGAAAAAGAATGAATTAATTTTTTTTCATTTATTCAAACAAAAAATTAAAGTCACACAAGAAATTAAAGTTGTATGTCAAGATAATAGAATCAAACAAAAAAAAATATTCACATAGCAAAATCAATTAAGAATTGAGAGTTATGTACTTTTGGGGTTTTTGTTACATAACATTGTAAAGTGAATAGACTAAAAATATACCAAGATTTATATAAAATATATATATTATGCTATATGAAATACAATAATGAAAGCTGTTGGTTCAGCACTGTTGATTTCTTTCTCTATCATTTATCAATCAAATATTTTTAACACCATTTGCCTATGATTTTACTCATTTACCCTTTTATTTACAGATTGTAACTTAACATTTATCAATGAGGTCATATTTTCAAATTTGTATGAAAAGCATTTCAAGTCAATGTTATTTAATTCTTGTTTTGTTCAATATAGTCAATTTCTTCTATTATGAATTTTTCAAATATTTTTAACAAAGAAAAATAAAAAACTTTCTGATATTTGATGATAATTTTATACTTTTACTCTTTTCTTATTTATTTATTGATTGCTATTATTATCATTTAAAATATATAATAATCCTTAAAGTGGTACATTTGATGCCAAACTGTTTACAGCAACATTCAGTGTAAAATATATGGATCTGTTTATGCATGTGCATATATATATATATATATATATATATATATATATATATATAGCCGACTTTCCCTGACAATCCGTTTAGGTGAAACCTAGGTAGGTTCGTCTGGCTCACTAGGTTTATCGAGGTCTGCTCTACAGTTGTATTGAGCTCTTTTAGTTAGTTATTCACTCGTATCAGGGTTTTTTCTTTGGGCTTCAAACCTGTATCTGTGCGATTTTTTTCGACAGACTTTCATGCTTCCAGCTCTTTCTTTTTTTAAAACCTTCCCCCCCCCTCGAGATTGATTTGATTATTGGCAAATCAAAAATTCAAGGGTTTTTCAAACGAGTATAATTATCTATATATATATATATATATATATATATATATATATATATATATATATACACACACACTAGTTGACATACCCAGTGTCCCAAAAAGAAGATGTCATCCCTAGTTCTCATATCCTTTCATCAGTTATTTGAATGTAACAATTCAAAGTAAGTAGCCCTGAAAAGGCTTTTGTGTGTTCACAGAAAATATATCCCTTAAGCAAGTTACTGTTAAAATAAATTTACAATAGATGTACAAATAGACTAACATATACTTTCACAATAGACCTGCAAATAAATTTATATTGAGATTTACAACACTTACAAATAGTACAGTTAAATTATAAACACCTGATGATTTGATGTTTCTCATCCAGTTTACAGAGCCTCTTGATAAACAACATTTTTGATCTTTCCATATAGGGTATAAATAAACAAATGATTGGGATTGCTGATTCTTGAACATCCCACATAAAGTTGGCTATGGCAGAAAACCAGTTCTTCAAGGTTAAGGCATACCACATCCAAGGACTGCCCCTGAGTTTTGTTAATGCTGATTGCAAAACTCAGTTTCACCAGAAAGTGTAGCCACTTGAATTGGAAAGGCATATCCAAGGGAATAAGTGGAATTTTAGGAATGAATACAGCCTCACTAGTTACTTTGTCAGTCAGCATTATCACCTCCAAGACTTGGCATTGTCATTTTAATTATAAATTGTGTGCCATTGCAAAGCTTTTGGTAGATCCAGGTTTCTTAGTACATCACCAGTCCTCCAATCCTCAGGTGAAAATTGAGGTGTGAAGCCTGCTGATGTGACGCTATTCAAAAAGTTCAACTGGATAATTCACAGCTTCATCGCCATTTAGTACGGCATCAATGGAATTGTAGCTGTGATGCTCAGCTGGCAACTGTTCCAGAAGTTTAATGTTCAAATCACGAACTACCACATTCAGTGGAGCTAAAATGGCATGGGTTCTCAGTAGGCTAAATATGGCAATTCCTTGGCCTCTCATAGCTTGCACTTGGGAGTCCAGGTCAACTAATGCCTCATTGTAAATGGCATCATTAAATTAAGTGACAGTTTCCACTGAGGTTTTCCTCTGAATCCTCTGTAAGATATCCTTTTCCTTGCTGGTTTTGTGAATCACTCAAAGCTTGAGAGGCTCACCCAAGCCATGTGTCATCAACATGATGGATAACAGCTGGTGCAGTTAACTTGCTGCTCTGCTGACTGCTGCCTGCTCATCGTCTTCCAGTAGGCCATGTTTTGCGCAGGATTCTCTGTAGTAACTGTCTATATTTCTGAGATGAGGTATTATGTACAATATCTACATTGGAGCTAAAATGGCATGGGTTCTCAGTAGGCTAAATATGGCAGTTCCCTGGCATCTCATAGCTTGCACTTGGGGGTCCAGTTTAACTAATGCCTCATTGTAAATGGTATCATTAAACGTGACAATTTCTGCTGAGATTTGCCTTTTGAATCCTCTGTAAGATATCCTTTCCTTGCTGGTTTTGTGAATCACCAAAGCTTGAGAGGCTCACCCAAGCCATGTGTCATCAACATGATGGATAACAGCTGGTGCAGTTAACTTGCTGCTCTGTTGACTGCTGCCTGCTCATCGCCTTCCAGTAGGCCATGTTTTATGAGGATTCTCTGTAGTAACTGTCTATATTTCTGAGATGAGGTATTATGTACAATATCTACATTGGAGCTAAAATGGCATGGGTTCTCAGTAGGCTAAATATGGCAGTTCCTGGCATCTCATAGCTTGCACTTGGGGGTCCAGTTTAACTAATGCCTCATTGTAAATGGTATCATTAAACGTGACAATTTCTGCTGAGATTTGCCTTTGAATCCTCTGTAAGATATCCTTTCCTTGCTGGTTTTGTGAATCACTCAAAGCTTGAGAGGCTCACCCAAGCCATGTGTCATCAACATGATGGATAACAGCTGGTGCAGTTAACTTGCTGCTATGCTGACTGCTGCCTGCTCATCGCCTTCCAGTAGGCCATGTTTTTGCAGGATTCTCTGTAGTAACTGTCTATATTTCTGAGATGAGGTATTATGTACAATATCTACATTGGAGCTAAAATGGCATGGGTTCTCAGTAGGCTAAATATGGCAGTTCCCTGGCATCTCATAGCTTGCACTTGGGGGTCCAGTTTAACTAATGCCTCATTGTAAATGGTATCATTAAACGTGACAATTTCTGCTGAGATTTGCCTTTGAATCCTCTGTAAGATATCCTTTTCCTTGCTGGTTTTGTGAATCACTCCAAAGCTTGAGAGACTCACCCAAGCCATGTGTCATCAACATAATGGATAACAGCTGGTGCAGTTAACTTGCTGCTATGCTGACTGCTGCCTGCTCATCGTCTTCCAGTAGGCCATGTTTTTGCAGAGGATTCTGTAGTAACTGTCTATATTTCTGAGATGAGGTATTATGTACAATATCTACATTGGAGCTAAAATGGCATGGGTTCTCAGTAGGCTAAATATGGCAGTTCCTGGCATCTCATAGCTTGCACTTGGGGGTCCAGTTTAACTAATGCCTCATTGTAAATGGTATCATTAAACGTGACAATTTCTGCTGAGATTTGCCTTTGAATCCTCTGTAAGATGTCCTTTTCCATGCTGGTTTTGTGAATCACTCAAAGCTTGAGAGACTCACCCAAGCCATGTGTCATCAACATAATGGATAACAGCTGGTGCAGTTAACTTGCTGCTATGCTGACTGCTGCCTGCTCATCGTCTTCCAGTAGGCCATGTTTTGCGCAGGATTCTCTGTAGTAACTGTCTATATTTCTGAGATGAGGTATTATGTACAATATCTACATTGGAGCTAAAATGGCATGGGTTCTCAGTAGGCTAAATATGGCAGTTCCTGGCATCTCATAGTTTGCACTTGGGGGTCCAGTTTAACTAATGCCTCATTGTAAATGGTATCATTAAACGTGACAATTTCTGCTGAGATTTGCCTTTGAATCCTCTGTAAGATATCCTTTTCCTTGCTGGTTTTGTGAATCACTCAAAGCTTGAGAGGCTCACCCAAGCCATGTGTCATCAACATGATGGATAACAGCTGGTGCAGTTAACTTGCTGCTCTGCTGACTGCTGCCTGCTCATCGTCTTCCAGTAGGCCATGTTTTGCGCAGGATTCTCTGTAGTAACTGTCTATATTTCTGAGATGAGGTATTATGTACAATATCTACATTGGAGCTAAAATGGCATGGGTTCTCAGTAGGCTAAATATGGCAGTTCCCTGGCATCTCATAGCTTGCACTTGGGGGTCCAGTTTAACTAATGCCTCATTGTAAATGGTATCATTAAACGTGACAATTTCTGCTGAGATTTGCCTTTGAATCCTCTGTAAGATATCCTTTTCCTTGCTGGTTTTGTGAATCACTCAAAGCTTGAGAGACTCACCCAAGCCATGTGTCATCAACATAATGGATAACAGCTGGTGCAGTTAACTTGCTGCTATGCTGACTGCTGCCTGCTCATCGTCTTCCAGTAGGCCATGTTTTTGCGAGGATTCTCTGTAGTAACTGTCTATATTTCTGAGATGAGGTATTATGTACAATATCTACATTGGAGCTAAAATGGCATGGGTTCTCAGTAGGCTAAATATGGCAGTTCCCTGGCATCTCATAGCTTGCACTTGGGGGTCCAGTTTAACTAATGCCTCATTGTAAATGGTATCATTAAACGTGACAATTTCTGCTGAGATTTGCCTTTGAATCCTCTGTAAGATGTCCTTTTCCATGCTGGTTTTGTGAATCACTCAAAGCTTGAGAGACTCACCCAAGCCATGTGTCATCAACATAATGGATAACAGCTGGTGCAGTTAACTTGCTGCTATGCTGACTGCTGCCTGCTCATCGCCTTCCAGTAGGCCATGTTTGCGAGGATTCTCTGTAGTAACTGTCTATATTTCTGAGATGAGGTATTATGTACAATATCTACATTGGAGCTAAAATGGCATGGGTTCTCAGTAGGCTAAATATGGCAG